GAGAAACTAAATGCACCCTTTAGTTTTTTATCTCTTATCTCCTGTGTCCTCCAAACCTATATCTGGAGCTAGCCCCAGGACCTGTAGGTTCCTTGCGATTTTGGCCCTTTGTGTAAAGTAGAAGCTGAGAAGGCTCCTTGCCAAAGCGGTGGCCTGCGGAAGGAAATCGAGCTTCTAAATTGATTCACCAAGTATTTGAGTGCCTTTCACGTACCAGGCACTGTTTTAGATTCTTGGGATACATCCATGAAGACAACAAGGATCACTCCTTTCGTGGAGTTTATATGAGAGTGGGGAGGGCTGACAACATACAGCTAAAAAGTTATATAGGATGTTAGAAAGAGATACCTGCTATGAAAAAAAAATTAGAGACTGAGAGGAATAGAGAAGGAGGTGGAAGAGCAAGTTGCAAAATTAATTAGTGTCAAGGTAGGACTCACCGAGAAGGTGAGAGATGAGCCAACTTAGGAGAGTTAGTTGTGTGTAACTGAGGGTGTGCTCCAGGCAAAAGAAAAAACTAGAGCCAAGGCCCAAGGTGCCTTATGTGTGAAAGAACGAGAATGGCCAGTGGCTGGAGCAGGAAGAGCAAGACTGAGAGTAGTGAGAGATGAGGTTCCAGTGATGGAGGGAGGAAGAAGATCATATAGAGTCTTGTAGGCCATAAAGGACTTTGTCTTTTCCTTTGAGTGAAGTGAATGGCTACTGCAGGGTTTTGAACAGAGGTATGACTTAAAAGTAAAGGGATTGTACTGTGCTTTCTTGAGAATACACCTATTAGGAAGCTATTGCAATAATCCAACACAGAAATGATGTGGCCTAGAACCGAGATGGTACTAGTGAATTTAGTGAGAAGTGGGAGGATTCTAGCTCTATTTTGAAGGCAGAGCCAATAGAATTAGATGGACTAGATATGGGATTTGTGAGGAAGAAAGCCGTGAAGGATGATGCCAATGTCATGAAATAAATAAATTGATGTATGTAAGGAAATTAGAATTGTACCCAGTATATAGGAAGCATTCAATTTTATTATATTGTAATGTTCTCATTAACTCCAGTACTTTTGGTGTGTGTGACTGGAGGAGTGACAGTCTACATATCAGTTTCAGCATCTAAAATGATGCAGTTTTAAAATTCTACGATTGTGGATATTTACCAAATGAGTCACATGTTTAAGGAGTTTGCAGTCTAGTTGGGGAGATAAGATAAATCCGTTAAATATTCACAATACAAGGGAGGGCATATTTTGAAAATAGCAAGTTATGTAATGCATATGGCAAGAGCCCCATGAGTTGAACCCACAGGTAAGTGCTAGAATAAGGACAGGACTTGAAGGATGGACAGAAATGAACAGGAACAACAGGTGGACCTTACAAACAAAGGCAAGACAGGTGAAGGAGTTCAGAGCTTGTCATCTCAAAATATGCACTTTTGCATATTGATTATTTTAAGTTAAAGGCACTCGAGAAACACCAGATGCAAGAAGGGCACTCAGACTCTCCTTTTTATTCCTGAAAGTAGGAGAGAAAACTCCCATCTAAAAGATGCCCTCCCTGTTCTTGGAGGAAAGAAGACATTTTTATCAGGAAGTTGAGGCCAAAAGAAATCTGTGCAAACAGAACTTGTTGGAAGTAATTATTATCTTTCTTTAGCCTCTCCATATAGGTTAGTTGCTTTTCCACAATTGCCTCTCGTTTTTCAATCTACTATAAAAGCATGTAGGTTCTGCCTTTTGGGGCTTCATTCTCTTGTAAAGACTCCCATGTACATGTAAGAGATTTTAATAAAACTTGTGTGCTTTTTCCTGTTAATCTGTTTTATGCCAGTTGAATTTTTAGGCCCAGCCAGAGACCCTAAGAGAGTAGAGGAGAACTTTTCCTCCCCTCCACAGGAATGAGTGTGGTGTGTTCAGCAGCAGTGGGGAGATCAGCCTGATGAATGGTGAGGGTATATTGAAGAGAGTGGAAAATAAATTGGATGGCTGGGATGATGCCAGATTACCTAGGGTCATAAGAAGCCAAAAGGAGAAATTTCAGCACTAGGAAGGTTACCCTGGCTATGTGTGCCATCAACTTTTCAGGAGATTGCATGAATTAGCAATAATTAGCATAGTGAGTGATTTTGATGAAATAGATTTAGAACACCCCGAAAGACTCCTCTATATTTTCCACCAGGGAATATCTTTTCCTTGCCACTTGCAAAGAGGGATGGGGAGAGGAAGTACTAAGATTCTCTTCCCATAACTACATACTTAGGATTATGATGTTTTTGTTTGTTTCTGGTTACTGGGCTCTGTGAGCTTTATTTTAAGACATCCTCAACAAGTAAATATAGTGTGTATATCCTGGAATTAAATTGTGTATTAGGAAATACACTGAGTCCATTCTCCAAGGTCACCCAGTCTTTGGCTTGATGGTGGCGTTCTCCTTCTCTGGATTCATCCTAGTGCCTTTGTATTAAGTATCTCTTATAGAGCCTTTTTATTAAACATCTCTTCTCCAGCTCCTTTTTCCCTCTCCTTAAAAAAAACCCTTTCCCTCACCATCTAGTCCCACCTTTAAAAACTTTCTCCCTGAATTCTGTCAGTTAATGAATTTTTCTGGTTGTCTAATGTAACACTACTACGTGTGTGTGTCTTCCTAGAGCTTTTTGTATTTCCTCACATTATTGCCCTCCTTCCAGAGTTACCATACAAGGCTCTGTGCCTGAATGTTCTATCAGGGCCACAATACAAGTGGTAGATTCAGTCCATTCTAGCTCAATAGACATATTTGCAGTTCTGAAATCAACATATATCAGATTGGTCTTAACCCAGCCATCAGAGTTCTTCTTCGATTCATACATATTTTTGGAGGAGTTTTAAAAATAGCTGACTAAAGAAAATCACAGTGATTTTTGATACCCAAAAGAGTTCTATTAGAAACTAAAGGTTAGGTTCTGGTCTAACTTTTCCCATTGAGAAATTTTCTTAAATCATTCTAATCATCTTATGTAGGTTTCATTTTCTTTTACTGAAATTTGAAAACACTCAGTGTGTCAGTTACAGTTCTCCGAGAAGCAGACACCAAGACAACTTTAAGTGCAAGAGATTGATTGGAGAAAACGCCTGTGAAGGGTAAAGGGAGAGGGAGGAGAAGTCAGGGACACTCAGATCGAAATTCAGACTCGAACCTGGCAAAGCAGACAAGAAAGGAAGAATGAGTAGGAAGATCCCCAGATCGCAATGTAATTCTCAGGGCCTCAGCCAGAGCAGTGGGGAGTCCTGAGCTACAGCTGTCCCTTAGAGGAAGCCAAAATTGGAGAAAGAACAACTGAGTTCTTGTACTTCCACTGTGCTCAGTCACTGAGAGCACTGCAGAAAAAGCTTGGCGTGGTGCAAACTGAGGGGTGCATCTGAAAGTGCTGCAGCTGGAGACTATCAATCAGTTCATAGTAATGCTCCTCCATGATTCCTGTGAACCCCTCTTGCTAAGGGTACACTTAGAAAGGGGAGATTAATGGGACAAACTATAGTCTCTGTCATTGCAGTTGGTCTTGGGCTATTCTAGTACTTATGCCACTATCCACTCCCTTTCCTCTTCATTCTCAGCTATGACCTCCGCAGATCTTGCTGACTTACCTGGTGATATGACCTAAACATTCATTCGTAAGGGGTCATAGACTTTGGTCATCATACCCTTCTTAGTCTGGGGTTGCTGCATGTGTCCATTTGCAGTTACCATTGGGCAGGGGAATACCAAGAGGAACCCAAGTGGATCACCTGGGTTCTAAGTGTATTCCTTCTTGTCTCCACTGTGTAAGAGCAGCCCCATCTCTTCCTGATAATCAGAGTCATTTATCCCTGCTCACTGACTCCTGGGTGCAAAGAGTTAAAAGTGCCCCACTACTACTAGCTTGCAGTTCAACGGATCACTGCTGTAAAAGAGAAAACCTTTGAAGACTAGGATCTCTAACTCTGCTCAGCCCAGAGTTGTGGGAGGTGAAGCACAAAGTGGGGCATTGAGGGTGATTGTAAATGAGGCCATTCTTGCCTTTACCCCTTGATTCCTGGGTTCACGTATCCTTCCTATTGGAGACAGCGCCATGTAGAGATCTCTGATTTAGTACCTATACTATGTCCTGAGAGATGGTGTGCCACCCTTGCAGATTATTTATTGTCTCTGAGCTGCTGATTTAGCTGTGACTTTAGTAAACCTTTCTAATACTGTATGAGGGTGGTTTATGTAAGTAATAGGGTAGATGACATGACAATTAGATCCTATGGTCGTGGGCCCGTTCCCGTACCTCCTTCCTAGTGCAGTGAGTTTTCCTGTGGATGCTCTGCCGGATGGGATTCTGTGCCTGTAGTGGTGCCAGCTGAGGCTGTGAAGACAGGAAAGGACAGGTTAGTTCCCCTACTGTGCTCAACCAAAGACTGGGAGCAGCCCTGGGGGGGTGTGGCCTGCTGTGATCTCCACAGTAGATCTCACAGTGCGGCAATTGAAAGCTGTCAGTCATCTGTGTTCCCCACAGCAGGTGTTTTTGAAAGGAGATCTGAGCAGGTCACCTAGATTGCTGCCACAGTGAGGCAGAATGACTCTCACAAAATCACGTAATGAGGAGCAGGAGCATTTACACTACTAGTTTCGTGTTGTGCCTGATGGAGTAAGAAATGTAGAAGGAAGAGTTAACTCAAACCAAGAATATTATTTGAAGGAGAGTCAATCTGAATTCACAAAAGTCTAAATTATAAACAATGGTATTTTTAAGAAAATGCTTTAATTTACTTTCCAAACAAATATACTAATCCTGAGCATAGTAACATACTAATATTAACTCCTGGCAAAGTATTTTTAAGAGGACTCATAAGTTAATAAGGAAAACATTTTTAGCTAGTAATATCCATTTGCCTATAAATAATTTGCCCAAATTTCAAGGAAAATTGCCTTAACGAGACCCCTATCTGCATAGTGTTCTACATGAAAAGTGTAAAGTTAACTGCAGCTCAGACAATGTCAACAAGTTAATAGATTTTATATCAGTCTAAAGTAATTCCTTTTATAATATATTGAAATGACTTGCCCAAGACTCACCTTTCAAAGGCTTTGTACAGTCACTTCCTACAGCCTCACACTTACATATACGTGACTATGAATCAGTCTGTAGAGCGAACAGAATAGGTGAATAGAAAATCAGCCTCAAAAAATCTCAATCCCTTGCCAGTTTACTTAAGGGAGACTCTCCATAGCCAAACACTGTTGCTGGTAATAAAAAGTTGCAAGCTGTCACTGAATTCTGCTTCCTTGGCAGCTCATCTCAATGATGTACTGATTGATAAAGACTCGGATAATCAAATCAAAAACTCTACAGGTAATTACTCGTCAGAGACCTTGAAAGGATTTACATTTTAAACCAGTGAATATCTCCCTGAAGTCATGCCATACAGGAAGGCATCAGAAGGTTGCCTGGAGAGGATTCACAGAAAAAAAGAATTAAGTAATTGTTTGGAGCATAAATTTAAGGGCATCCTGATATGAGTGTCTGGCGCATCTATATTAATAATAATAGCAGCTTTTATGGGCCAGGCACTCTTGTAAGTGTTTTATGTATAGTGACTCATTTAAATATTGCAGCAAACCTGTGAAGTAAAATACATTGTTTCTCCCATTTGTAGATGAGGAAACAGCACAAAGAACTTAAATAACCTGGCTGTCTTAGTTTAGGCTGCTTTAACAAAATACCATAGTCTGGGTGGCTTAAACAACAGACATTTATTTCTCACAGTTCTGAAGGCTAAGTCCGAGATCACAATGCCAGGTCGGTTGGGTTCTGGTGAGAGCTCTCTTCCTGGTTTGCAGATGGACACCATCTTGCTGTCTCCTCACACGGCAGGGAGAGTCTCTTCTTATAAGAGCACTAATCTCATTCATGAGGGTACAAGCTCATCACCTAATTACCTCCCAAATGCCCCACCTCCAAATACCACCACATTGGGGATTACAGCTTCAACATACGAATTTTGGGGTAACAAATATGCAGTCCAGAGCACTGCCCAAAGTCCTAGAGCTAATCAGTGGCAGAACCAGGATTCAAACCCAGGCAGTCTAGCTCTTAACCACTATACTATGTCTGCCACTGAAATGATCAGATGGTTATTTTGGCTAAAATATCCTACTCCTAAGATGTTTTTGGAAGGACAGTGCCATCATTCACCTCTTGAATCTCCTTTTTATGTTTCTGAGCTGGCCATCCCTTTTTCTGGAAGACACAAATTGTATTATATGAATTAATACATTATATGAAGTTATTTTTAAACACTGTGGGCCTGAGAATCATTCTCTCTCTTTTAGGTATCTTTTTCTTTACCCCATCATGGAGAACAGCAAATTCAAAAGCTCTGCAAGTCAGGCAGGTAACATAAATAAGTTAAGTGGCTTGATATAAGACAATTTAGAATGGCAAACCACTACTCACTCATCATTTGACTCCAGCTGCCCTAAGCAAGTGTGGACCCAGTGTTACAAGATCTTCCGATTTTGCAAGAGATGACAGACATCTTCATTTTAGTTAACTCCCTTTTTTGATATTGGAAACTAATTTTTAGAATTGTAATCACTGTGCACACCAAATAAAACATACCTACTATTAATTCTGTAATTTAATGTTAGACAGCAATCTTATTCTTTTACTCACCTAATATTTATTGATGGCTGCTTTATGTTTATTTATCAAAATTTTAAATGCTTATCCCCTTTCCTACAGAAATGTTTTATACTCATGTATATGCAAAAATATATAAGAATGTCCACTGCAGCATTATTTCAAAATGGATATCTCATCAGGACAGGGACTTTGTGTTATTCATTTCCAGAAAAGTCCTGGCATATAGTAGGTACTTAATATATATTTATTGAAAATATATATATATATATATATAATTAACCTAAATTTCATGAACAGAGCAGGTTAAATAAATTATGGTGCATCAACACAATGAAGTACTGTGTGTGTAACAGTTAAAGAAAGACGAAAAATTCTTTAAGACATATTTTCAAGTGTAAAAAGCAAATTGCAGATGTTTCCATTTATATCAAAGGAAAATTATACTTATGCATAAATATGTAAGTAGATATTAAAAACTCTGCAAAGTTATGTGCTAAACTGTTACGAGGATACTTCTGATGAGAAGAATGGGAGATGGGACTTCTACTTTTCACTAATATACATCTGCCTTGTTTGACTATTTTATATGAATGTATGTGCATTACTTGTATATATATAATGACTAAATATTTAGCCCCATTAATAAATAAATGAAATAAAATAACTATGTGATATTATTTCTTAACTTTCAGGTTAGCAAAGATTAAAAAAAACAAAAACTGGGGAAGATAGAGACCAATGCTGGCAAGAATATGGGGAAAGAAACAATTTCGTGCTCAGTTGCTGGAGAAGTAAGTACAACTTTTCTGGAGGGCAATTTGAGACTACACATTAAATCTTTAATGTGCATATACTCTGACTAAGCATTCCCATCCCAAGGAATTTATCTTAAGGAGAAAATTGGACAAAGTAGTACAGAGATGTATATACTAGAATGTTCCTTTAGATGTTTATAATATTGAAAAATAGAAAACAAGCTAAATATCAATAATTATGGGACTTGTTAAATAAATGTACTATGGTATATCCAGACAGTAAATGTGCCTCAGGACACCCATAAAGTAAAAGATTGTGCAATCATTATAAAGGGTGATGTATACCTATATTTGTGAGCATGTAAATATAAGCATGAGAGGTACTATGACTGCATTAACATACAAAGAATACATACACACATACATACATATGGCAAATGGTACAGAATCATAGTTAAATACTTACTCTCTAGAGTCAGACTCCCTCAATTTGAATGTCAGCACTGCCACTTAGTAAGCTTTGTAATTTGAGACAGTTTACTGAAACTTTCTTTTTTTTAGTTTTGTTACCTGTAAAGTGGGGTTAAACTATGATCTTACACACATAGGTATAAGAATTAGATTAAATAGTCCATTATAATAACACAGTCTATTATTATTTTACATAGAGTGAGGTCTGAAAAAAATTCATCAACATGTTGACGGTGGTAGTCTTGTGTGGTAAAATTGAATGGAATTTGTTTGCTTTCTTATATATACCTTTCTACATTGTTTTGATTTTCCAAGATTAACACATATCCTTGTAAATGGAGTCAATGATGGTTGGAAGAGAAGATGATTGATAGAATGGAAGGAAGGAAGGAAGAGAGGCGGGATACCTGACTGCTTCAGGCTAGGTCTTACAGGTGGCAATACTCTGATGAAGTTACAGAAAAGTACAGGATCTTGTCTTCAACTCTATAGACTCAAAAAATCAGCTTTATCACTCATCCAGTATACATCAGACTGTAGGGAACTGATGAAGGCTATATTCAAATTCATGGAGGACTCATTAATAAACCAGAATATACATAAGTCAGCTCATTCTTTTGCCAATAGAAAAGCACAAATTGGACATACAACTCGTCTATCAAAACATTGCTTGATAAATGAAAACCACAATGAGATGCCAAAACACACCCACAAAATAGCTAATGCTATACAAACTAACAATATTAAGTGTTGACAAGCATATGGAGCAACTAAAAGTCTAGTAAATTGTTTGTAGGAATGTAAAAGTAGTACAACTTCTTTGTAAAACAGTTTGACAGTATCTTATAAAGTTAACATACTTTGCCTTATGACCCAGCAATTCCGCTGTAGGTATTTACCCCAGAGAAATAAACACATATGTCCACTCAAAAATGTGTATGTGAATGTTCATAGCAGCATTGTTTATAATAGCTGAAAACATAAAGCAACCCAAATTTCCATCGACTGGTGAATGGATAAACAAATTATGGTATATTCATACCATGGAATACTGCTCAGTGATATACACAGCAACATGGATGAATTTCAAAAGCAGGCTAAGCTAAGTGAAAGAAGTTGAACACAAAAGACTACATTTTGTATGATTCTACTTGTATGAAATTCTAGAAAATGCAAAGCTACTAGCGAAACAAAGGGGATCAGCATTGCCTGGGGTCAGGGGTGAGGAGAGGTCATCAAGAGCAAAAGGCCTTGAGGAGACTTTTTAGGGTGAAGGAACTCTTCTACATCTTGATAGTAGTGGTGGTTACACAATGGTAAGCAGCTACCAAAATTCATCAAACGTTACACTTAAAACGGTTAAATTTATTATATGCAATTAATATCTTAATTAACAAAACAGTGATTGGTAAGGATGGAGTCAGTTTATATTATCTGACAAATGGTATCATTCTCTTTCTCAAAATGAGTATATGTATATATATGCGTATATGTACTACAGGAATTAAACTTTGAAGGAGACTAGACTATCTGCATCTATTGGTGGGGCATCCTTTCCCTTTCATTCTTTTTCCAAAACAATGAGAGTTCTGGAATTTCTATATCAAAGGTGTTTTAGGAGTGGCTATGTAGTTAAAAGTCGAGGTAAAGGGACCTGTCTTAAAACCACCTTTGAGCATTAACCACACTCTTATTTATGCTGTGACTTTATTTGAGGGGAGTAGTAGAGATTAGAGGGGGACTAGAGCCTCCAAAACCATCTTTAGTGGTGCTTACATTTTCAAATACTGTATCAATTTCCATCAGGCACTAGTCAGTTATAAATATCTGAAAAGAAATTTGCATTACATGTTAATATTATCAGCAATATATTTTAAAACTTTGCCTTAAGGGTAAGGTTTTACTTTTACAGATAGCTAATTTCTTCCTTGTCTTGTTTTACTATATTTATTCATTTTCAGGGAGAGAGATAATGGTGTCATATTCTTGAATTTATTTCTAAAGTCTGGCAATGCATTATGTTTAGCCCATTTATCTCTTTACAGTCTCTGTGTATATATTCAATAATTTAAAATGTAATAACAATTCAGTTTTTAGCCTAAGCATCCTTTTTACGGACTTCTGGCTGTTTCAAAGGTTGAAAAGCCATTCCAATATTTTCCTAATATTACAAAGTATGTTTTGGGGTCAGGCAAACCTGGACTTGAATTCTGATTCTGAGACATTGATTTGTAATTTCAGCAAGATGTTTTTCTTTCATCTGTGAAATGAGGATATCCATACTTGGCTTATGAAGTGAGGGTTAAATATATATAAATGCACTAGTCAGCAATATCTGTCACATGTTAAGCCCGAAGCAAACACTAAAACATTACAGTACAATGACTGATAGCTAATAAGACCACAAAGAGTTAAGATGGAATCATATAAAAATGCTCAATTAGTTCAAAAGAAGGCAGAAAAAAAAGAGGAAAAGGAGAAGAAAAAAATTAGACAGAAAACAAATATCAAGATTGTAGACTGAAACCATCAATGCAATGAGAAGACAACCTAACAATTGGGAGAAGATATTTGCAAACTATATATCTGATAAGGGGTTAATATCCACAATATACAAAGAACTTATACATCTCAACAACAGAAAAACTAACAACACAGTTAAAAAATGGGTAAAAGATATGAACAGACATTTCTCCAAAGAAGATGTACAATTGGCCAACAGGCACTTGAAAGGATGTTCAGCATCATTAACTATCAGTGAAATGCAAACCAAAACTACAATGTGATATCACACCTCTCAGTCAGAATGGCTATAATTAACAGGACAGGCAATAAGTGTTGGAGAAGATGTGGAGAGAAGGGAACCCTTGTACACTGCTGGTAGGAGTGCAAACTGGTGCAGCCACTATGGAAAACAGTATGGAGTTTCCTCAGAAAATTAAGAATAGAACTAACATATGATCCAGCTATTCCACTGCTGGGTATTTATCCAAAGAACATGGAAACACCAATGTGTAAAGATACATGCACCCCTATGTTTATTGCAGCATTATTCACAATACCTAAGACTTGGAAGCAACCTAAGTGCCCATCAATGGATGAATGGATAAAGAAGATGTGGTATACGTACCCAATGGAATGCTACTCAGCCATAAGAAATGATGAAATCTGGCCATATGTGACAACATGGATGGACCTTGAGGGTATTATGCTGAGTGAAATAAGTTAGAGGGAGAAATTCAGATACCATATGATCTCACTCATAAGTAAAAGATAAAAACTACAACAAGCACATAGAGACAGAGATTGGATTGGTTGTTACCAGAGGGGAAGGGGGGAGGGGGAAGGGTGGAAGGGGTGATTAGGCACACGTGTGTGGTGATGGATTGTAATTAGTGTTTGGGTGGTGAACATGATGTAATCTACACAGAATTTGAAATATAATTATGTACACCTGAAATTTATATAATGTTATAAACCAATCTTACCACAATAAAAAATAAATAATAATAATAAAATAAATAATAATAACAATAAAATAAATAAATAAATCCAGCTGTACAATAAGCACATTAAATGTCTAATGTCCAAACACCTATAATGCAGGTTGAAAGACTGGACAAGAAAGCAAGTACCAATTACAACCTCTCTACAAGAAATTCGCTTTAAATATGAAGACACCAGTTAAAGGTAAAAGGATGGAAAAAAGATATATGCTATGCCAACACTGTTCAAAAGAAAGCTCAAGTGGCTATATACATTTCAGACAAGGTAGATTTCAGAGCAAGGAATAAAATCAATCTCTCTCCCTCCTCAGACCTCTAGTTCTTTAGGTCCCTTCCTGTGAGGCAACACATTACTGGTTTTCTGTATCTTTCCAGAATGAGTTTACGAATATATATGCATATATCACTTTTGTCTTTTACCAAGGGGAGTATACTTTAGTCGCCATTGTGTACTTTGTTTTTTCCAGATATATCTAGGACATTATTCTGTATCACTACATATAGATTTATCTCATTCTTTTTAACTACTGTATAGTAAAGAATAAAGTTTTTTTTTAAAAGTCTCCATCAAGAACACTAGTCTCCAAATTCTAGCTAATGGGGTTAGGTGAAACCACTCCAAGATAGGACTAGGATGGGGGCCAGCCCAGTAGCGCAGAGGTTAAGTTCACATGTTCTGCTTCAGTGGCCAGGGATTCGGCCAGCCATGCTGTAGTAGGCGTTCCACACATAACGTAGAGGAAGATGGCTATGTATGTTAGCTCAGAGCCAGTCTTCCTCAAAAAAAAAAAAAAAAATATATATATATATATATGATTAGGATGTAACTATTTTAAAGAGCACCAGACACTTGCATCTCTAGCACGTTCAAAACTAAGGTCAATGTCTTGACATGACACATTTCTACCCCTGTTTCCCCAACTCACACTTGGACCAATTTATTGTTTTTTGAGAACATCATCCTTCACCTATTTAGTCACCAAGATAATTCTTCACTTTCCCTTTTCCCTTATCCTTCCACAATCAGTAACCAAGTCTTGTAGATGCTACTCTCAAGGTGTCTCAGTAAGTTGGAGACAGATGGTGAAGTTCTTTTTGAAGTTCATTGTTACCTGTTCAATGTATTGGAAATAAGACTAATATCTGCATCCAATTCCAATTGCATTGCCGGATGTTTTTTCTATAAAATTGCATCATAGAAGAACTTTAGTGTTTTTTAAGTGATAAATTGATATTTTATTCAGAATATTTCTCCCCAGATTCTTTCTTAATAATTTGAGTCACTGTTCTTCTTATTTAGGAAGATGTTTCTGGTCTGGTGTGATATATTGTGTTGTATAATTATAATGTGGATGCATGGATCATCTTTCTTTTGACAAGCTTCAAGTACTTTAACAAGTTCTGTATCATATATCCTAGTAACGTCCCTGTGAAATAGGTTGAAGAAAACATTTTCTTTTCAATTTACAATAGAAAGAACAGAGACACAGATCTATCAGGTAATTAGTGCTTAGCTACACAGAGTGTTAGTGACAGAACTGGGACTAGAACTCAGGTTTCCTGACTTTCAAGCCAGATTGTAAGTTTCAGAATCATAAAACTGTCTACTCTGCAATTTAAAAAAAGTAATGGCATATACTCTCACACATCCTGAATTTCTAGAGCTGTAATAATAATCCACTAAAAAAAGAAAAAAAATCTTCCTTCAAGAATCTCATTGGAAAAGAACATTTCTCGAGAAATGTAGAGAATACGTATTCAACCACCGATTCTCTTCATCAAGAACTTCTCTGTAAAATGAACTTAAATTGTGATGACATCAGGCTTAATGTTATACTTGTTTTTATTCCTCTAAAATATTGTCCAAACATATAAATGCCCTAGACTCTAAATCAATCATTTGAAACTGGTCCACTACAGCTTTGAAAATATTGGGAGCATCATAAATGTCATGCCCACCTGTCATTTCTTTTTCATCATGGAACACATACAGCCTGCAGTCATTCATAGCAATATCTCATGGCCCTGGTAAAAGCTTATGAATAACCTTCTCTGTCCACCTGTGTATTTCTGAGTAATTAGATGAATTTGAAAGTCCAACAAACTAAATTCTAAATGGTGACTCAATGGCAAAATGAATAGTTGAATAAACTAGTTTATTTAAATGGAAAACCTATATTTCTCTGAAGTAGAGCAGTTTGCAAGAAGAACTGGAAAAACTAGCTTATTAAAAGAGAATTTAAACTTGGAAAATTTTCATTGCCCTTATAGTAATATGTTAGAATTTGATTGAACAACATTTTAATTATGTTTACTTTCTCTTTGAGCTTTTATTTCATTAGTAACATTTCTGTACATTGGCTTCGCTCTTTTTGTAGAACCCAATAGGTTAAAATTTTATTCTGTTTACAGATGTGTATTTTTGATTATGTGCATACATAATTCTAGTATTGTCTTTTATTTCTCTTCTACATATTTGAGCATGTGCACATACATGGAGAATACATGATAGTTGAGAACTATTAGATTTGTGAGGAAGGAGACCATATCTTGGTATTTAATTTATCTAAAATAAAAAACATGACTGAAAGGAAATAGGTAGGATTTTTAAGGAAGCAAAATTTACTATAAAATCATCCATGGAGTCAAAATAATGGGAGATGTTTGATGATACATAATAGACAATGAATGCTTAAAATTATTCATTACAGAATTGGTATTATAATCCCAGAAATTTAAAGAGAGAATATTCTTTTGTATCTCCTTATGAACATTGATTTTAATTTTTCTATATTTAATTTTTGTTTGTACTCATTTACACACATAATTTTAAAGTAATTGCTAAGTGGAGTGGATGCAATTTTGTGTTCTGACTTGGAAAAATGAATCCTGTTGACAGATAAGAAATTCTCAGGAAAATTGCAGTGGATGTTAATTTGATTTGATATTTCAAAACAGTAATAATAAAATAAGTAGGAAAAATCACGCTCATAAAATTCCCTGAAATTTTTTTTAAGATAAAAGGTGGAAATATAAATTAATGAAGAACAAATAAATTCACCTACTTGATTTGTTTATAGGATTTTCTTTCTTTTTCTTCATCACTGATTCTTTTTTCTCTCTCAAGCAAAAGGAAATTTGTATGTTCTTACCTCTGCTCTCTTTCAAAATGCATAATAATTGTCATCAATTACTTGAAATATTCCAGTGCTATTAGTGCAGAATACTAATATGTGAATGGATGATAATGTTTTTCCTGTATCAATTAGACCTGGCTAGAAACCCAACATTAATTTTGTATCTCATCGAAAAGACTTTTGTTTCCTAAAACTTATTAAGACCTTTCAAGACTACTTGATTTCCATCCATTGGCCAGATCCCATCTGGTAAATGTAGTATTTATTACTGTTGACCACAATTTCTATTTTCCTTCCTTATAGAGTCCCTTGCTGAGAGACCAATGATCTCTGCCCAGTGATCATGTGATTTGTTTTGGCCAATGAAATGAGTATAGGCTACAGAAGTCACTTCCAGGAAGAAGTTTCAAGAGTCAGCACATGGTTCACTGGTTCTTTTTGCCCTCTGCCAAGAGATCGGTAATCATCTAGACTTTGCTCTACCAGACTAGGTCCTGAAACAAGAGTCCCGGCTGTCCTGGGATGAACACTTAGCATGATTGAGAAGTAAACTTTTGTTGTTGCAAACCACTGTGATGAGAGTTCACTGAAATTTGGAGGCCACTGAGATTTGGAGGCCATCCCAAACACTAAGATTTGGGATGGGGACATTTGGGCAGGTATAGATAAGGCTAAATTGGACAGGCAGCAACCTGACAAGTGTGTACAGGAATGGCTTCTAATGGTGTTGTTAGCTCAAAAAGAATTAACTGTGAAATTTAATTAAATTAACTGATACATTGAATTGTATCCTAAAAGATACAAAAATAGCAAAATTTTTTCCTTGAAGTCACTTTTCAAGATTCTCAAATAGTTTTTATTCGCAGACCTCTTTGATACAGAGACACAGAAAACTATTTGCCAAGACGTAAATACACACATACTTGCCTCTCTACTCTCGGCTGTGTGATCTTTAACATCTTACACAACAAACCTTTTTGGATATTGCAGCCTAGGTAAGATATCTCTTTGTATGGTTCCATCACACCTTGTGCTTTCTGGTCATAATATATTAAATGTCTGTATTCTCTTCTAAATTTTCTGTTTCTTGAAGGCAAAGAATGTCCCATTCTATTGTACCAGTCAAGCTAATGGCAAGAAGCTGGGATTTGAAAGAAATTGAATGAAGAGACTTTTTTAGAGTTGTGGGCAAGAGTAAGGAATCACCCAGGGATGCTGAGACACCCAAGAACTACCAACACCAGGAAGATAATAATACCTGTAAGTCTGAAGAGGCAGGGAAAGAAAATGGTGTCATTGGACCTTTTTGGAGGCTGGAGCAATGGATGGAGGGTCACTCACCAGGAGCTATAGTAATAGAGGGATACAGCTACTATTATGATAGTGCACCAAGAAAGGGAAGTCGCAGGGGAAGAAATACCCTGATCTTTTTCTCCATCTGCTCTGCCATCTCCTACCAGTGCCTCCCAATGACAATCTCACAGAACGTCAGAGGGTAAGGAAGCCTATTGACATCGTTCACAGAGATCAGTCTGTTGGGTCAATGAGCAAGGCAGAAAAGGAAGAAGACTAGGTCTTGGGAGGGCAAACAGAAGAACCTACACACTTCCTTATTGCTATAATTCCAGTTTCTATTTCTTTGTTTGCCTGGTGCATAGGAAGTACTTAAAGATATTTGATGGATGAAAGAATGAATAACATAGACATTAAAAGCAAACTAATTAATCTGGATGCTAAGATCAGGCTGTATTTCTTGTATTTTTAGGAAATTATTTTGCTTCAACAAGTTACCTTGTAACTAAATATTGTCATGAGAGCCTTTTAGCTATTGATATTATATTTAGCTATTGATATAAACCACATTTTGAACTCCTATGAAGAACACTAAGTCAAGTAATTTGGGAAGTAATTGTGAAAGATGCAAAAATGAGATGACTCAATTTGAACAAGTTTATTGAGTAGATAACTAAGTGAAGTAAGTGAGTCATAAAATGCAATTCATGGCATACAGTTACAACACAATTACTCAAATTATCACTTATATGATATAGGGTAGAGTGTCAGCTGGGGCAAGGCATCAGGAGATCCCGTGGTTGTGGCAACATTAATGATTAAAAGATTGTGAGATGGGCCATTTTTGTGTTGTAAAGCTTAGAAAAAAGAAAAAGATAAGCTCGGTGCTTGAACTCTTAAACCGAAGCATGAAGGAAATATCAGAAAGTTTCTGTGGAAGTTTTAAGCAAGATCTCCTAACTGAGGGTCCACATGTAGAATTCACATTTCTTTCTTTCTTTTTTTTTTTTTGAGGAAGGTTAGCCTTGAGCTAACATCTGCCACCAATCCTCCTTTTTTTTGCTGAGGAAGACTGGCCCTGAGCTAACATCTGTGCCCATCTTCCTCTACTTTATATGTGGGACGCCTCCCACATCATGGCTTGACAAGCAGTGTGTAGGTCCACACCCGGCATCCGAACCGGCAAACCACGGGCTAACGAAGTAGAACGTGCAGACTTAACTGGGCTGGCCCCTAGAATTCACATCTCTGATGCTAAGGTAGGGGCACTTGTTGGGAAGAAACAAAACATTAAGATTTGGGATGGGGGGCAAGGCCCAGTGGCACAGCGGTTAAGTTCGCACATTCCACTTCTTGGTGGCCTGGGGTTCGCCGGTTCGGATCCCAGGTTTGGACATGGCACTGCTTGGCAAAAGCCATGCTGTGGTAGGTGTCCCACATATAAAGTAGAGAAGATGGGCATGGATGTTAGCTCAGGGCCAGTCTTCCTCAGCAAAAAGAGGAGGATTGGCAGTAGCTAGCTCAGGGCTAATCTTCCTCAAACAAAAAGAAAAACAAATAAAAAGATTTGGGATGGGGTCATTTAGGCAGGCAGAGATGAGGATGAGAACTTAGAACCTCCGAGTTCTCTGGAACCCGCCTTGAGAGTAGAAGCTGCTCTCTTCCACTGTAAGGAAATTTTGCAGAAAAATTTTTCAATAATTTCACTTGGAGCTGTTGCCTTTCAAGGGATATCCATTCTCCTCAAGACATTCCCACCATGTTCACCACACCTTATTGCCTCCAGGGCCATAATGAGAATTAAACCTCAGCATAACTGTGAGAGAAAGGTTGCAAAGTTGGCTCTGGGAGGAGATCATTTTGCCAATTTGTATAAGTAAGAATCTGGCAGGCATAAATTAGATTGAATTCTAAAGTGATTAGGTCAAGTCAGATGAACTGTAAGATTGAATTAGGCCAGTGGTTTTCACAGTGTGGTCATTGGACCTTCCAGCATCAGCATCACTTTAGAACTTGTTAGAAATGCAAATTCCGAAGCCCCATTCTAGACCTAACGAATCAGAAATTCTAGGACATGAGGCCCGGAAATCTGTTTGAACAAATCCCCCAGGTGATTCTGGTGCCTGTGAAAGTTTGACAGCCACCAAAATATGCTAAATGTATGTATGTGGCCTCTCTAGGATTTGAGATTTAGTGTTTTGGCTAGAACGGTTAAGAGTGAGTCTAACAGTTGGCTAGTTAATGGAAGACTGGACTCAGAGGTTGCCCATGGTCAATGAGATTGAGATTACAGAACTACTCTGACATAATGTAGAAAAGGAAGCTGGATGGCTTAGAGAAATGAAAATGTTAAAACAGATTTAAAATGTGCAATTTTCTCCACCATCCTCACCTCTTTTACCCCAGAATATCCTAGAGAACATCTCTTTCATCAAAACGTATTAAAATGCGTTGGTGAGGGGAACGGCAGCATCCTTGAAAACCTCTGTAGTGGCTGTCTCTACCAGCTTATGATGGACCTGGGAGATGCTGCTATGAAAATGAACTTTTGAATATAAATCAGGCATTCCAGAGTAGCAGGGCCGAGTGGCTGCTCTTAACTGTCAGAGACAAGGTGGGCATAATTATCCTAATAAGATGCCATTTGCAGAGTGGTAGTCAGAATGTTTTGACCAGCAAGGACACATGCCAATGACTAATTGATCATAAGGTCACTAGGAATTAGATAGATGGGGAACCTTCTACAGGGCTTCTTGACATATAAAATAAAAGCTGATTAAGTCATCCTATGAGAATTCTTAGCCTCATACCCTGTTCTCAGACTTAAGCCAATTCACAGATCTGAAGCCCTTTAATTAGGGAGCAGGTCAGGCCCCTTTGAGGAACAATGTAAACTGCAATATAGCCACAAATGGCCTCTATGTCTTTTCCAGATGAACCTATGGTCACTTTCCAGGATGATTTTTTACTGGGAGAGGGAAATGCCCAGTCCTTCTGGAGGTTTTTAGGTACTGACTCTGAGATAGTGCTAGTCCATAGGATACAAAATACTATGATGGTCCAGTGGTCAGAGAATATGGACTTATGGAGGTCAGGTGATAAATGAAGTCTTGACTCCATTGTATCTGACAATGGCTCCAATAAGTCCACAGACCCATTCTGTGGTTAGTTTTACCATCTCTGAATATATTTAAAAAACACACATATTTTTTTCAGCTGAGGCACCAGCTTAGAAACAACAGCCTGTGAGTTTAGGTTGCCATGCTATAGAATGTGGTATATGCCTTAAACTCACAGTACATATATAGTGCCAAAATATAGAGGTTCAGGAACCAAAGAGTGGGAGTGGGAGTTACCTCTCTCATTATTATATCTTGTATTTCACTTAAGGGCTCAAAAGGTTTAGAAGTGCTTATTCCCAAGGGATGACAATTTCTGCCAGGAAACACAGTCATGGTTCCGTTAAATTAGAAGCTGAGACTCTTCTTTGGCTATATAGGGCTCCTCATGCCGCAGAGTCAACAGAAAGAAAAGGTGGTGACTCTACTGCCTAAGGTAATTGGATCCACTTGCCATGGGGGAATTGGGGTACTGTTATGCAGCAGGGGCAAGGAGAACATGTGTGGAACTCACGGGTTTCACTGAGGAACCTCTTACTACCACTTCATAAGAACATCAGTGGGAAAATGTGGAAATTCATAAAGAGAGCACCATTAAGAATTGTGGAAGTAAAGGTTTGGGTCACCCTACCAGGTAAGGAACCTCAATCAGGAAAAGCATAAGAAAAAGAAAATGATGGATATCATTTTAGGTCTCATGACCATTTACAGAAGCAGGGATTATAGTGGCTACATCTTATGTTAATTTGTTTTCTTTTTTGCCTTTCTCTGCTGCTGAATATGAAAAGTTATGATAGGAGGTTAATTGCGATTTAAGTTTCAGGAAAGAGCAGGAATGAACTGAGTCATTCCATGATTGTAGAATAGCTGGTGGGACTTAGTGTCACTTTTGTGTGTGGGGCAAGAGTTTCTTTGTGTGATGGAAGGCAAAAATAGTGAACTATGCTGGTTATTCTCTGTTCTCCCTTTTCCCATGTGTTAGTTATTCATTGCTGCATAACAAATTACTCCCAAAATCTAGCAGCTTAAAACAGTAATCCTTTATTATCATAGTTTCTGTGGGTCAGAAATCCAGACATGGTTTAGCTAGGTCTTCTGGCTCAGGTCTCTCACAGGGATGATGCTTTATCCAAAGACTTGGCCAGTGAAAGATCCACTTCTGAGCTCAATCACATGCATATTGGCAGGGTTCAGTTCCTCATGTGTTGTTGGACTGAGGGCCTCAGTTCAGGCTGGCCGATTCCCTCATTTCCTTGCCATGTGGGACTCTCCATAGGGCAGCTCATTGCATGGCAGCTGACTTCCCTTAGAGTGAGCAAGTGAGAGAGCAAGAGAGAATATCCAAGATGGAAGCCCAGGATGGAATCCAAGATGGAACTTTATCACAGAAGTGACATTTCAACACTTTTGTTGTATTCTATTTATCAAAAGTGTATGACTTTGTCCAGCCTGCCTTTAAGGGGAGGGTGTTACACAAGGAAATGAATACCAGGAGGCAGGGGTCATTGGGGGCCACCTCAGAGACTGCTTTTCATACCCCAATTCATTCTCTGCCCTATTCTGCCCTGATATGGATACCAGTTGGATTGCATTACTCAGGCTCTTGCCCTCTGGTCTTCTGTTGCATCTCCCCCATGGGAGGCCCAGGCAGGAGAATAAAAGAGGAAAGAGAAATTGGAATATTTCTTTCCCTGCTTTCTTTCTGCCTTCATGCTGTGTTTCTGGCAGTGGCTGCACTCTTCTGCCTCATGACTCTGCTTCCCTAGCATCAGCCGTCACTGAGTGCTGGTAACACCATTTCCTCTGCTTTCTCCTTCAGGCCTAGGGGTAGTTTAGGCTTCCCACAGT